TATTGAAGTTTTTTTATGGTGATAGTGTATGTACCGAAGTAAACTTTACACTATTCATAAATCAATACATTATTTTTACTGAAAAACAAAGTATCGATTATCATTATTATTATTATTATTTTTTTATAATATATACTGTTTGAAAATATGTAGTTGATAATATAGTGTGACGTGTGCTAACCCGTTTCTAGTACTGTTGTATAGTGAGTCAGCTAATAAGTATAGTCCCAGATTAACTATCGACTGTTTATTAATTCCATTGACGTACGGTGACGAGTTTCATAAATTTCATATGAAATGAAAACAAGTGTAAGATCCTTTTTATCACATAATCAAGAAATTATTTATCACATAATGTACTCTGTTATCATGTGAATATATACCCATGTCATATTTGTTTGCGTATTAACTCATGAAATATGACCTATCAGCCCTGTGATTGGTTATAAGTTTCAATTGTTTCGATTGTGACGTCACGCCTAGGACAAGAACATGACGTCACAGACTTACGCATTGGAGTCAAAATGGCGTCTATTTACAGTTTAAAGGTGTCGTTTCACGACGCGTACGCATTTTTTTAAAAAGCATGTACACGTAAACTTACGTGTGGTTTACGGCAGACATTTGGTGGCGTAAGTTACGTGCGGTTTATGGCGTAATTTACGGGTACCCGTCAGGCGCGTAGCTAGCCCCTTTACCATGTGTAAGCCCCGACATGGGTCTCCCCCATGAAAATTTTGTTTTCTAGAACGTCCCAGGAGCCATTTCCCACGTCCTGATGTCTGAGATAATGATATGTTATAATTTATAATATAGTTTTAAAAAAGGGGCCAGACTTGCCCCGGTTTCCCCTACACATGTATAATACATGTGTAGGGGGGACCGGGGCAAACACGGCCCCTTTTCTTTTTTCAAGACGTTATGGAAGGCATGTACTATACTGTTGAAATGCATATTCATATATGTCATTTAGAAAAGAAATGTATTGTCTTTCATAAACTAATAACCAAATCGTAAACAAGACCATATTTTGGGAATTATTGGACTTTTTAGGTCGAGAGAGTTGGGGGCCGGACGAGCCCCGCCCTGAGGTAAATCCGGCCCCTACCAGGGCAAGTATGGCATGAAGGATAGAGAAGACAATTTACTAATAAGTGTATGGAATTTCATTCAATTCTGTTGGAAAATAAGTCCAGAACAAATCAGTGAATACAAAGAAAAAAATACTTAATTTTTGCGACGTAAAAATATTATTTTTGTGGTCAATTGGGTGACGTTAACAATAGTGACGTCACTTGGCACAATAACAGTTGCATTCGGGGTGGCCGAATGTGCCCCGGCAAAAGGGGCCGAACGTGCCCCAAATTGATATTTTCATAAAAAAAAACCACATTGATTGTCTGTGTCCACTGTGCCATACTCGGAGTCGTTTGCGCCAGGCGTGAGTTTCTCAATTTACTCAATCGAGCAGCTTAGTTCCGCCTGGAACTGTCCATTAATGCAATGGACATTTCTAAACTTCATACATTTTTGTACTAACTATTAACACTGTATCATATCTGAGAAATTACATATGTATACTATATATTCAAAACTTAAACTCCACTTTATAGTATCAGCAAGAAAAAATAATGTCATGAAAACGTATACTTGTCAAAAACATGTGCAAGCCCGGGCTTATTGGCTTACATGGTAGCTACGCGCCTGCCCGTAACTTATTTACGTGCACTCGTAACTTACGTGTGCGTCGTGAAACGGACCAAAAAACATACGTACGGTTTACGTTTACGGGTACCAGTAAATTTACGTACGCGTCGTGAAACGACACCCTGGTGGCATGCAAATTGTCCTTTTACAAGAATAAATGCCACAGATCTTGATTATGTGATAAAAAGGATCTTACACTCGTTTCTTTTCAAATGAAATTTATTTAACTCGTCACGAATTTTTCGTTTTAACTCACCAGAGGCTCGCTAAACTGAAAATTCTGAAGACTCGTTTTATAAATCTCATATGGAACGGAACGACATTTAAGATCCTATATACGTTCGTTTTTACATGTAAGATCCTATATAAGTTCGTTTTTACAAGTAAAGTCCGTGCTTATGAAGCGGTACGGTTTGTTTTCACTTTTACACTGGTCAATCTAATTAAATTCATACTACAAAAACATTTCAAACCCATATCAGGCTTTACATGATAGTTTAATCAAGTTTCAAGGTTTATTTTTATTTCCGAATGCAATACAGCATATAGTTTAATGAATACATATAGAACACAATTTTTTCAAAATGGCAGAGGTCAATTCCATATTAGCATTTATCACACAAAAAAGAATAATCAAAGCCTATTTGTAGCGTGATATATATGGTGTTTGTTTTGCTAATGATATCACTACGTAAAACGAAAATGACGTGGTGTTGTCAATCAATCAACGTTATTTCTCTTTACAAATTTACAACAGTATACAATATCAAACGTAATACAATGTATATATGGATACATTCGCACAAATTTCTTAAAATCTAACAATGTTTGTATTCATTGGTTCTGAGAACTTAACAATATTTGGCTTTACATGGTAGTATTGGTATAATTATAACTTCCTTTCTGTAGACAGAAAGGGACATTTTAACAAGTAGTGAAATTCCTCACCAATGCCTTAGTTATCACAACTGATTGATGGTTAGTGTTCACTCTCCACGGTGTGTGTGCGTGTGTGTGTGTTAGTGTGTGTATGTGTATCATATTGTATGTTGTCTCTGTATTGTTTTGTATATGTTATAACTTATAAGTCAACCGACTTAAAGTAATAAAGAACTTGAACTTGAACTTGAACTTGAACAATATGTACGTATTCTATTTTGGTTCTCAACATTATTCCATCTTCCAGGTTCCACTATAAACTTATGATTAATAGTTCTAAATTAACACAATACAATTCTTTCTTTTTCAGTCAACAATTCTTGATAATTTTCAAACTTACAATTATGTTTATATGTTCTGTAACACACAGACTTGGAGGAATTAAAAATGCCATTACTCTACTTTTGCACAAAATAATCATTCCGTATTTGCTGTGTTATAAGTTTTAATATTCAGTACGAGTAGAAATTAAACAACAATAATGAATTAAAAATCAATGTTAGTTGAGGTGAATTTAAGAAGACATTGATGTAAAATTAGTAGAATGCAAATATATTCCTATTTAATTGTATCAACTATAGATGGAAAATTATTTTTGCGTAAAAGTTCATACAGTAATCTTCAGTGAACTTTATTTTTGGACGAGTTGTCTCCCTTCTGCCACACACAAGAACACATTGTTCCAAAGGAATTAAGATTTTCGAAAAGTGACCGATAATTTGTAATTTTATCTATAGTTATATTCTCTGAATCGTGGTCCTTATTTATAAATTTACCTAGAAACATACTTGTAAACCTAGACCAATACTGAATGGCGAAACATAAAAGTGAGTTTACATTGAATGCTACCAAATGGTGAACGATACCTGTAAATTCATTTCTACAGACCATGCCTATACGCTGGTGCGCAAATAAATCAATCAAATTTTCAAACAAATAAAAAACCCTAATAACAACCCAAAACAAAACAAAAACCAACAATTAAAAAAAAGTGATTGTAGAATGTCTCAACTTTGCAATTACTTCGTGCGATTTACCCCCTAGAAAATGATCCTAGGTCTTGTCATTAGTATATTTATTTTTCCGCCGGTGGAGAGGTGGTGGTGGGGTTGGGGAACGGGGTGGCATCTGGCCCCTAGACCCACTTCTAAATGATTCCACTCCGCGCAAGGGCTAGCTAAGCCCCTGCTGGTGGTCAATAACACAGGGACCTGATAATTTGTTACAGCTATATTTGGGTCTAAACTAAGGTCTCTGAACACCTTAGTTTAGGTCCAAATATAGCTGTAACAAATTATCAGGTTCCTGTGTTCCATAATTGTGGTTTTGCCAAGACCGCTACTGACTGCTATTTGATTTGAATCAGTTCCCCTCCTAAACTAGGAGAAAATATCAATATGAAAGTTTCATGATTATAATCGAATAACATCGTTCCATTGAGGTTTATTTGGTTCACACACACACACAATATACACTCACACACACACATAATATACACTCACACACACACACAATATACACGCACACACACACACAATATACACTCACACACACACAATATACACTCACACACACACAATATACACTCACACACACATAATATACACTCACACACACACACACAATATACACTCACACACACCCACAATATACACTCACACACACACACAATATACACACACACACACACAAAATATACCCACACACACACACACAATATACACTCACACACACGCATAATATACACTCACACACACACACAATATACACTCACACACACACACATTTAGTGTGCCTATTCTGTAATCATATCGACACGGAATTAGATTAGTCCTACATTAACTATTCCGTGATATTATTGTACACTATGTTATATCATAGTAGATTCCTTACAATTCATTAAAAACAAATTACCATTGCTAATTAATTCATGAATTCTATAGGGTTTTTAAAATTGGTTTTCAATCAGCACTTGATATAAAGAAGATAGCATATGGATTATTTTTATTATTTATTTTATTGATAAATATTGAGGCATAAGGACGTCCACAACTGGTAGTTTACATAATTGTTAATAACAGGGACATATTATTAAGTGTTCGCCAGAAATGTATTCAAGGACTTATTACTATCACACCGAACTCAGCCATCAAATCGATAGCTGTACACATTCAGGTAAAATATTGATTTGTTAACGCTTGACGTAAGCCACCTGTCTAATTATAAATCAATAGTCATACCTGACACGTGCGAGAGACGAGGAAAAAACACACTAAAATATCAATAATATTAATTTCTCCACTCTGTCATGTGACAAGTCTCGACCAATGAAAGCGGCGTTCGCGCCTAGTGGCTTCATCCTGCCGGGAGTACTATACACACCGGTGAAGGGAGTGACGTAGCAGTGATCGTTTGGCAGTGAAAGATTTTGCAGGGATATATACAGTTTCCTGATCAAAAGTGGATTGTGACACTATTACAAACGACAATTAAGGTATGTATATTTTCTATTGTTTTATATTTTTCTACTAGAAAATATTTTTCAGGCAAAAAAAAAATGTTTTTCCTGACAAATCATTAACAGGTGCAGTACGTATTTTATACATATAAAATCGTACGCTAATTATTATTTTCCATGTAATATTTTGATGACATATAAACATATATATGTGTGTGTACATGTGTTCTTCTTACTCTGGTGTATAATTATAACACGGTGAGATTTATAATGGCGGAAAACTGAAACCCGGAAACTCGCCCATGTATATATACTTATTAATACAATATACATACACTTGTTGTATATATATATATGTGGAATGGGTGACGCATTAACGATTAAGTGGGATCTTCCTTAGTATTTACACTATCTTCCTTAAAGCGGACCTCTAAATCACTTCCCTACCACATGCCATGGAAATAATTTTGATAATTTATTCAAAATGTACTGGTTTTGTAAACTGCATTGTTTATAATACTACGGGCGGATACCACTGCGATAAGATCAGATAATATGTCTATATATTATCTATATATGGCTGAAGTTATATGATATACCTTGATTAGAAATCTACGATGTAATCTGTGACGAACATTGATAATCGAACAGTAAGTAGCCTGGGTTAGATACACGTATATTATTATGTACTGTATGAGGTAATCAAATATCTTGATTGTATAGTTTGATTCGATTTTCGTCTGAGCTATCTGACACCGAAATCTTATAGAATATTCAATAATAAAACTGTACTGTATACTGTATTTTTCTGAGTGGATAATGTTTATAATTTAGATTCTCAATTCTCTAATCCCGACTCAACAAATCATCTCGCATCGAACCCTATGCTATGACATCATCAGCACATCCCCCAACCCCACCCTCAGCACATCCCTCATCACCACCCCTCTCCTACCATCTTGGTCACATCTAATCCTCATTCCTACTTTACACTTCCGTCCTCTTCTTTGATTTTTTTTTATCTTGCTCAGTTAATGCAAAGAATAGCCAGAATCACCTTCCCGTTTAAACCTCATATTTCCCTCACTCTCATACCCAAATCCCTTAAAAAATTCCCGGATCATACGATCAATATATGCAGTAAAACGAAATAGAAATCTATATAGAAAACATCAAGAGACTATACAAAATATACATATGATTATACAGAATTATAATGCGCGTGTCTCGATAGGAACTGAATAGTTACTCGGAGGAAAATACCAAAATCGGAAATTCGTTCTAAATTGATATAGCAGAGAACCATCTACATTTCGTTTTCATTGGTCCTTCCCTACTGTGTTGTTAAAAACTATGCGTCTCTCCATGTTAATTTCACTATTTCCAGAATTTGTTTGACATCCATAAAAATCGGTGAGTATTTATGACCGGTATGGATTATAGCTATGGGTTATAACTGTTTAAATGCGTTTTATATTGTTAGTAATAACAAGCGATGCAAGAAACTACATTATTAGGGAGATAATACACATTGGTATATATGTAGGGTGGGGCTGTATGACTATTATTAGGAAGATATACATACATACGGTAAATATAGATAGAGGGCTGTGTATCATTAGGGTCCATGACCAGCTAATTATCTATCCCCCTCTAGGTGAAACCTATACAGGTGATTCATACATTGCGTACCCTATATATCGGTAGAATGTCCCCGAGTCACAAAAAAACATGGATGTAGAACAAGATAAATATGTACCCGCCAAGGGTCACAGCTGTAGACAAGCGCCATCTGGTGTACGTTTACCGACATTCTTCACTTAAACGCCCACGGCATTTATAGCATAAATATTACTATAGCAGCGACACCTCTCTCTCAATACTTTTAAGTTTATATATAAATTTTTCGTTCTTTCTAGGAAATGGGTAACACGTATTGAATCGTATCATCTGAATTTCTGACCAATAATAATTTATGTTTGTATATAATGCAATTTGCATGAAACAAAGAAAATAAAATCAAAATGTACAATGATTAAATTAATTTGCGCATCTCAAACTCGTACGTAGTGTGTCGGATCCCTGTATAGGTAATGCATTACATTTTTCGCTAATATTTATGAAAACAATTGTTGACGAAATAACGTACAGTAACTGGAAACAGAAGGGCGTGAGTGATCATCCGTCTATTCTGTGTAACACGAACCCTGTATACTCCGGAATTATATGTAAACCCGAAAGACCTTCAGTGTTCTCTTTCACGGTGCTTCATGTAGTTTTTTGCTTAATACTTGATAAGCTCTTTGCCGATCAGAACAGTGTGGGTAGGCGGGGGTGTCCATCCTCGATACTTCTGTGGTTACGCTCACTTTCGCTCTCTAAATCTGCTCCCATGAAACATGTCGCAGCAAAATTGAAGGCACATGGCGAGCTTATTCACTGGTTGCGGGTTAAATAAATCTAACAAGTCGCATTTATTTTCTTGTCTCACCACAAGGTGGCGCACACCGAACTATGACATGGTGGGGATAACGTAGGTGATGGCGGAATGTCGTGCAACTAAAGCTAAATGTACACGTATACCGAAAGTTATACAGTTTCAGTGAGACAGCACTTTAAAGGTGACCCTCGACAGGTTCCAGAGTCGCTGAACACTCCAAACATATTATAAATAATAATATGTGATTTGTACCTTACGTTATTAGAAAACTTTCTAAACGAAAGGTGTGGCAGAGGCCGTGCATACGGTATCATATCGGTATGTGATGTACATGTGTCGCTATATTTTTATAATTCCTTAACAAGAAAACAAACGGAGGTCTCAGGTTGAGTTTCAAGTTCTCTGTATACCAAAATGGATCTTCTACCCATTCCCTCTTGTCTTCCTGCGTGGGAGCTTTACCTTATCCTTTCTATTTCCCATATTTCCCCTTTCTGATTGTTAACCGTTAATTGTTAGTATATGGCTTGGTTTTCTTAAGTCTCGTTCAACCAGACTCTTTTTGCCTGCGCAAGCTACGCCGAACAGAGTGATAACAAGTGATAATTAAGCGTCTGGTTGAACGAGACTAGACTTTCTTCTGTTCTCACATATGCACTACCACGCAGTTCGAGAGGTGAACATTGTTTTACTACAAATCATTAAAGGCTCCTGGCTCATATGTACCAAGTGTATACCTTTCCAAGCCACGAGCTCGTAGAAGATCTGTGAGCCAAGGGTGTATATGCTTGTGTAGTCATGTGATGTTTGAAGACTAGCAAAATATACCAGTTGTAGTTAAAGCAAATATAATTTAAACATAAAAAAACCCGAAACGAAATATGGTCCCGTTTTATTTGCTTAGAATTCGAAACTCGAGATGATTATCTACCGGGTATCGGTAACGAATACGGTTCTATTTAGAAGCACTTAAACACAACCACCCCTCTATCAGTGTATATTATCACTGACATCAATACGATCTGGAAACACGACCTCAGTCGGTTCATCTTGCTCCCGCATATGGAGTCCAGCCTAGCATTGTTTAACATTTCAGAAGTGATCTTTTGTTTTGTAAAACCTACCTAGACTTAACAAAGGATTAGGAAATACGATGCGTATTGTAAATATTTTGAATGCCTACACAACAGTTACTGGTAAGGAGAATTAAGTTTAAATATTTACTTGAAGGCTTGCTACAATAAAACGACAATGGTTCAATTATTACCACAACTGTTACATGCAAATCGTCATATTTCAAACAAGGCATAGCTATAGTCGATATACTTCCATCTCTGCTAAAATAATTACGGAGAGGAATAACGTCACAATTAGTGTTTCTCATTTAAACATCTAACACGTGCCACTTGCCTAGGTAGATCCCAGATCAGGTTCCACAGTAGTGTATTAAAACAGGACACAGGCCATAGTAAACCAGAAAAACAATTTCCTTTTTATATGATATACAGTGATACATGTATATAGCTGGTTTGTTTTTGTTTGAAAAAAAGAGAAGGCCTTTTCCTAACTAAAAAGAGTCAGCTTTCTTAAAAGAAAAGCTTGGCCTGTTTAGCCAAAATGAGGAGGCCCCACCTGTTAAGCCAAACTTTACTGCATTCTACTGATGCATTCACTAAATAATGTTTAAACATTTAATCAAGAAATCGATGCGCTTTTGAAGTCGTTTAAATATGTTGTTTATGGATATTAGAGTGCTATTATATCAGGTTACAGGTACCTGATAATTGGTTACAGTTCATTTAGCTATAACATCTGTTCAGGTCCAAATTAACAAATGTAGCAAATTATCAGGTCCCTGTGTATCAGGTGCATATACTATTTGTTTCTGATTCACAAAAGCCTGTGTTACAAAGAGTTATCAGGATGTCTCGTCGAGCGTGTTGAGTGTATCTAATTAAGTTGACTACGGTAACATCAACATTATTACAACCATACACCGGGCCGTTTCTTTACACTCACCAGTCCAGATACGCTACGCCACATGTTGAGGACAGGAAATAACGTTAGTATGGATTTGTAAACAATCGGCAACCAACTTAATTATCTCCTCGCGCGTGCATGCGTGCGTGCGTCAAATTAGACGGCACGCGAAGGGATTTGTGGGGCGAGGATGGGGTACATCTGTCTTGTCTTTTAGGTGAAGGGGAGGAGGGAGGGTTGCGGAGACGGAGGAATTCGTCTAACGGAATGATGGATAATCGGCAGAAGGGAATTCGAACTTCCGTTAGGATGTCGGTATTTCTTGGTTCATGGAAGGCGTTCGTTAAGGATATGTTTGTTACTATGCTACTACAACTCATGTTAGTAAGGAACAAAAGAGATTTCAATAACATTATAGAATACATAAAATGTATGAACACAGGGGCCAGACACGCCGGAAGCGTCAATGATAATGCCATCGTGTGGCTGGTCAATGTCAAGGATATTGGGGTGTTGTTTTTACGTCACAGTTACATGTCGCAAAACTTCATAGGTTTACAGTTTAGGTTTATACCGAAATAAGATTGTTAGTTGAGTTTCATTGTAATAATCAATCATAAAAGCATACTCGTTACACAGAATAAAAACATTTTCTTAAGCTTTATTGGATGCGTGTAACTGTAAAATTGGGCGTCATTGTACATGTATTCAGAACAGACACACACCCCGCCCCCTCGACAAGGCACTTTCTTGTGTGCTAAGCGGTGATCGAGTTGGTACATGATGGGATTTCCCTCTAAACGAGACATGCAGTGCTCCGTTTGACGCCCCTACGAGACTGGATTGACTAATTAATTGGACTGATTTGATTACAATCGAACAGGTTTATCTCTTGTCTGAAACTGACATTGCGGTAGTACTGAACACTACAAAAGACGCACAAAATGTATATAAGCACCTTACGACCATTGATACATGTATTTCTCTCATTTAAGTACGTATGATTGAAAATGCTGTTGGGTCTTTTTAGTGTTAATTAGAGGAAGATGATTTTATTCTGAATAGAAACGTGGGATTCGATACCTCTCTACTTTTGCTCGTTTCTTCGTTTGTTATGATGTCGTTCGTTCTTTTGGTTATTATTCCTGATTAATTCTGTAGTTTGAACGTTCCGTCCGTCGTTCGTTAACTTGAGATGACGTACAGCCTCATCCATTCGTTCAGCATGGCGGCCCTCCAGCTATGTAGCTGACATGCCACGCCTGATCCTATCCAGGAGCAAGTTTTACGACCTGACCACAGAATCGATGAGGTTTATTAAATTAAGGGGGAATCAAAGTAAAAATTCCTGTCAAATGGAGGGGAAAATAATCTCATATTCAGCACCGCTGGTCCGTACTCCATCAAATGATTAGTGTTTGTCATGACTAATGCATAACCTATAGTAGCTGTTCTGTTAGCTATCGCTACTGCTGTGTTCTGAGAAAGGTTTAAGAAATAACAAACGAGTTCGAGGTATTTTTTTGTAAATATGCCTCAAAAAGTCATCATTTTTTTTTTTTAAATTCAAAGTAATTATTGATTTTAGCATGATTGAGATTTGTCGTCTTCTTGGGCGATATGAAGACATATACAGTTAAGATCTGTACAGCTACATTTGTATATGTACATGTTTATGTATTAGGCACTACACAACCGTAAATGATTTTGAGAAAAATATATTGAATATTTAAACAGATATTTGATTAAAAAACATACATGTTTAAGTATGTAGAAATAATCAGATCCGCGCTATCACAGGGAGGCAAGCACATCAACATACCCTGTCTCCTGCATATACGCACACGTAAGCACGCATGCACTACACACATAATGGCACGTCATTAAATGACCTAAGCTGCTAATAGGACGTTAAACAAAATTAAACCAAACCAAACAATTCGTGAAAGGAGGAGGTAACAATTATTTACCCCCCCCCCCCCCCCCCCCCCCC